TGTTTTTTTCTCTCTCCACTTTTTCTCCCTTCTTTTTCTTTACAGTAGAGCTTACGGGCTAAACGCCTGCTTCGACAGCCGTCTCTGTCGCGCGAGGTGTACAAAAAAGAAAGCGAGAGATCCTTTTTTTCGGATGCGAGCGAGTCCCCCCTTTCGCCCGCGATCCTGCCTTACATATTACTAATATAGCGATAGCAGCAATAATTACAACAATAATCGTTCGGTGATTTCTTTTCTTTCTCTCTCTCTCTCTCTCTCTCCTTCTCTCTTCTTTTCCTCCCCCGTCTTTCTCCCCCTTTAGCCGCCCTTTCTTGATTACTTCTCTTTTTACAGCGCCTCCCCGCTCGCATCACGGGCGAAGAGCGCGTCGCGCCACGGAAGCTTCCCACGGAGATGCGGTATATAATTACAAGTTGGACGTGGCGATTTCCTTATTCTCTTCTAAGTAAGTACACGATTTCGCGCACGCCGCGCTCGCGAGCGCCGAGCGCGTCCGGCGAATGTGGCAGAGGCTGCGGGCTTCTTCTAACTAGCTAAGTAGTTTAGGTCTATCTCGCTTTCTTCGCTATCGCTCCTCTTTCTCGCGCTTCTTTTACTCCCTCCCCTCGATCTACGATCAACACTCACATTTCAGTATAATATTGGCCCCAGCACCCTTTTATTATTTTTTTTTTTCTTTATTATTATTATATCGTCTCACGCAACGCGACTAGTAGAAGCGCAGGGGACTTGCATTACATCGAGTGAAAATCAGGCTGTTGTTCGGGTTTTGCACGGAAGTAAAACTTTCCCAGTGGATGATCTCGCACGCAGGCATTACCGTCCGTTCGTCCCTGCGATCTTGTATTTTTTTTTAATTTTAGGATCGGGACACGATAAAAGGGAATGAGGGGAACGAGGAATTACATGCGGGGAATTAAGAATGAGGTGTCAGAATTAAGATATGTACTTTGAAATATGATACAAGGGAGTGGAGAATAAGATGAAAGAGGATTTTCCAAGGAGATCGCCGTTATTTTACTATACTCTAACGAATCTCCGCTGCTATTATCAATATATTCATCATTTTCGTGATAATCATCGATGGACTCAAGCTAAGTTCCATTCGGACATTGGTGCAACCACTAGACATTTTGAAGATCACATATTAGTTAGGGTTGTGCGAATCAAGCGTATCCGCGTGGTCGAAGCGAATCTCTAATGTGTTCGAAGTTGAAGCAAATCGAATCAGATTGTCCGATATTTACATTACGTGCTAATCTGAATATAATGACAGGCTGGAGAGCGCTTTCATTCTTGAAAAAAAAAAAAAAAGGGAAATATTGGGGCAGCTTTAAATGAAGTGAATAAAAGTGGATCTCGCAAATAATTTATACGTTAAAAATGAATTTGTTCATCCGTTATATCATTTCTCTAAGAAATCAAATGTGATTCGATTCGATTTAAACTCGAACGATTCGCAAACCTCTGCTGTCGGTTAATCATTACACTGGAAAAAACATTCGGTAATTAGTCTTGGTAATTACAATAACCATCTTGGTAATTGTTACCAAATCCTTTACTCAGTGCAAACATTATCAGCACGCAGATTATGAGGAATAGAATTTTGAAAGCGTTCCTAATCCTAGTTCCTCGTTCCTTTATTGTGGATTGAAACACGTCTCTCCACATGTCGAAATTTAATTGTCCTCTTCCCAATTCCTACATTTAATTCCTTGCTCCTTATTCGCCTTGTTTTTTATCGTGGCGCGCATTTTCCGCTGTGTTTCTTAATGAAGAGGCATTTTCCCGAAATTATAGCGGGATACTGCGGCTTTCTTTCGACGAAGCTTTTCATCGTTACGACTCGTTGAAATTCTCACGATTGAGCGCGACCATTTTTCGGGGGATTTTCGGGTAATTAACGGACGGTAGCGCGCGTGTGCAGAGAGATCTAAATAAAGAATTTAGCGGCCGTTAATTAAGCGACTATTGGAGCACGTAGTTAAAAGATAAAATCATCGGAAATTCGAAAACGGATATCACAAACGGATATCGAAAAATTATGAGCTTCTTGATGTAAATGGATATAAATACCACACATCACCACGGATGTCTCGCTTTTACCGCGATATTTTACAGCGGATCCTCCGCGCAATTTTTTTCAGGCGATTTTCTCCCCCGGCGAAAATGTCAAGGCGAGTAATCGTCCTTTCTGCTCGATTTTTCATATTCCGCGTCTTCGCGACTACGTCTCTCGAATTAAAATTTCATTCAAGCCAGCTCCATCTGCAATTAGCCGAAGGGCGCAGTTTCGGCTGATCCATACATTCGGCTGACGTTCGCGTTCACGAAGAGTCGCACTTTCTCCCAATTCGGTATTTATTATTAATCAGCCCAGCCTGGACGGTTCTCGCTGAGGGGAATTCAACACGAAATTGGCCGGAGAATGCTGTCATTAAAACATAACCCGGCGAAAGCGGGACATTTCTGTATGCGCGAGGCTAGCGTAACAAATAAATGCGCATTGTGCGCAAAGTCTCGTTAAAGCACTGGTAAAAGAGAGAATGTACAAATTGGAACTGCATCGCACCGATGCGGCGCGTCCGTTATTTCCGGTCGGCGGCGTCGGTGCGGGCTTTTTTCGCGAGACGCAACTCGATGTTTGCGTCGATAATTCGTCGTCGTCGTTGTCGGGTTCCTCGCATCTTCAAAGGCAAACGTACGCCCGTTATATAGTAACGCAAATCCACGCCGACTCTCTCTCTCTCTCTCTCTCTCTCACTTTCTCCCCCTCTCTCCCTCTTTCCCACTCTCTTTCTCACTACCTACGGAGACATCCACCACGTAACACGTTCTCGCATCGCGTCGTTCGCGTCTCCTCGAGAGAAGAACGCGAGGGAGACGTAACGAGCCACTCGGATACTCACGAACGCAATAAGCGACTCTTATTTCAAGAGAACGGAGAAATTCGACGTATTCTCGTGCTCCGCAATCGCGCAACGCTCGGGGCTAACCGGGCTAATTTCTGTAATTGCAATTATCAACAGGAGAACGGGGCGAGAGAGGGTGGGGGGGGATATATATTTTGCAGCTGCTGTGCGAAATCACATTTCGCGGCGTCGAATTTCCCCCTCCTCTCCCAAAGATCTCTCTTTCAATTGTACAGTTTATAAAACAATACCGTTGCGCGACAATGCGCGGAGTTCGCGCGCGTGCGTGTGTACGTGTATATCGCGAAAGGATTTTATATATTACGTATTTTTTTTTTCCTTTAGATTCTCTTTTTTTTTTTATTTTTACAACAGAACAACGGAATTCTAGTCAGCGGTAGTTGATAGGTGGGCACGAAGCGTCCTCGTTTTTCGCGGTAACATCGTCGTCCCGATCGATCGCACGCTCGATTACAGCAGGACTAGTCTGGAGTTATAAGGCGTTTGCGGTAACGAGTGCAGAGCGAGATCAGGATCCGAGTCTGAAGAATAGTCCCTGTCTATTAGGTGTACAAATTAATTCGGCGCCTTTGCGTTTAACGTCCTGTAACTTCGAATTTAAATGTTTTCCCTGTCCTATGGTGATTTGAAAGCGCCAACCTTAAGCTTTAAGAAGCGCCATAATAGTCGACGGCCTTGCCGATATAACCTCAGAAAACGGTAGTTATCACGATGTTGTTTGAAAAGAAGCGTCTGAGACATCCTCGCACATCCTTTTCGCAGTGAATCCGTTTTCCAGTCGAGTAAAAACGCAGCTCAGTCTATCGAAATGATTCGTTCCTCTCTCATTTCTCCGTCATGCGGCTTATTCACCAGATCTAGCCCCGTCGGATCACCGCCGATTTTGGCCGCTTCAACGTCATCCGGCGGATGTGAAAATTTCAAACAGTCGGCGAGTTGTCCGAAAAAGCATTGATGAGCGGAAACCGTCAAGTTTTTTTCCGCAAGGGCATTTCATCGGCTGCCCGACAGGTGGAATAAAGTCATAGAAAATAATGGAAATTATCTCGAACATTGAACTTGCACTTGACCTTTTGTGAATCAACTTTGAATTTCGTGAAGAAAGGCACCGAATTAATTTCTACACCTAATATAACTATTATATTCCACGGTCTGCTCTTGCTCCACTCCTGCTGTCCGGTAATCGTAGGAGCGAGAGGACCATGAAATGTAACAATTGTAGATAAGAATATATATCGTTCTCTCGGATCCTGATCTCATTTATCCTGCACTCGTTATCGTAAGCACTCCCGGATATAAACAGAGAAGCGCAACCGAATCCGACATATCGAAAGTTCGCTGTTTCCCTCGCATGATATTTGGAATAAGCGAGTAAGGAAGTGAAGAGGGGGAAGATGAATGATAAGGAAGAATGAGATTACAAGAGATTAAGCTGAATAACATACTAAGAGTATGCGACAAAAATATTAAATCTATTTAATATAATATCAATATTAATATTATATTAAATAATTAAAAATATTAAAACTTACCGGTACGTCATACGGTCGCACGGTGGGCAGAGAAAAGCGGCGCGTAGAGATCGTGCGATTCGGACCGAGCAATCTCGCAAACTGACTTTCCCCGTTGCGCTCCTCTATTCGTATCTAGGACTCCGGGAGTAGCTCTAAGGAGATCGTGTTTCGCGGATGCATCGGTGTTTTTTTTTTTTTTTATGTACACTCGTAAAAGCCTCGCTACCGCATTCGGTTCTGCCACATTCGCAGGGCTGGCACATGCATTTCTAATATATGTATACACCTTACCCGTTTCCGACTTGTTTCTGTTACCTCCTAGTCATTCCCCCCCCC